ATTGTGTTATTGCGTGTATTTCGACTAATCCCTAACAGCAACAGATTAGACAACGCAAGCATCCTAAATAAATGTTTCGAGTTTCACGTACGACTTTGATACTATTTCAGTTAAGTACTGCTGCTTGATGCGGCTGGCGTGGCTCTGTCGGTGCTCACTTTTCAACCGAGAACTTACCTAATCGTCTTAAGTGCCTGTAAGTTTAGTAGGCAAACATGTCCCCGCTACCCCGTCACGCCAACAACGTGGAAGCTTCAAGCGGAAATCTAAATCGTATTCATCAAATTGATGGAGTTGTATGAAGCCTCTCTCAGCAATCGTGCTTTATGGTTTGTGAACAAATATTTCACATAGAAGTTTATAGCAGACGAAATTCTTGATTTTATAACAATGTTTACATATTTTAAATTGAGTTTCTATTAAGAATGTTTTCTGCATTTAAAAAAAATAATGGATCAGATCTAGCAGCCAAACAGAGAACGCTAACATCGAAGTGTCCACAGTTAACTTGGTAGCTCCTTAATGTATTTTGTTGCTATTTAAGGTTTTTTCTTATAGGAATCTGCAAGCTTTTAAATATTCTAACTATTATAAGATCAGCTCTAATCAGTCCAGACGACATCGATCGCTGATCCGTAAACTGATCCCAAACCCGTTCGAATGCGCGTTAAGCTAGACAGAAATAATTTTATTAAGTCAGAGAAAGTTTTTAGAACGATCCTTTTATGTTCGGGTAGCACGACCTTATTGCTGTAGTCCTACATTCTTGGCGGATTAAACCCTTCACAGTCGTCTCAACTAAACTTGCAGTTCTTACAGTAACTAATAATTTATTATTAGAGAAATAGGCTGTTGTTCTAGACAATTGCCGGAAATAAGTTGAAGCAAGACTATTAATGCAAATAATATCATCGTACAACAGCGGATTTTTTCGACAAGATCTTTATGTCGGCAAATAACATCATCAAACGTATCATTGCCGTCTATGACTGTTTTCCATGGATCGAACCTTTTTCGAGTGCATATAACAATAATGATAAAAGTTCCGGACAGCACCAAATAAAAAAAAAAGTTAAGAAAGTTATTCCGAAGTAAGTACAGATGTACTTTTCCGTGTTGTCTTTGCCAGTCTTCCTAATAAGCGTTCACGGATAGTAATGGAATCTGGGTTTGCACGCAGCTTACGCTATTAAAGTTCTTTCTTTGATTAGCAAGTGAGTCGCAGCCTTGAGCCACTGATCGTGTGTAGAACGTAATTTAGGTTTTTTCATGTTTGCATGTTAAAGGAATGGCTGCTGCTTACCTATGACATGTTAGAGAAAATGTTGGCCACACTAAATCAAACAGAATGGTCCTATTCTTCAGTTATGCATTTGTATGATGATTCTTTGAACCTTTGGATTCGCTTTTTGCTGAGTTAGAGCAAGATCTAGTTTGGCCGAATCGTAGCCCAAAGTAGCATCGCCTTTGCGACTGTTAAGTAGTCGAACTAAGATTAATCCAGCCATATAAATCGGCAAACAAGGAAATAATCTCTTCGACGTTTAGTGAAACTGATATAACATGGAGTTACAGTGTCTCATGGTTATGGAATTTCGACCTCATGCTCGAACGAGCAGGACAGAGCGATACACGTGTATGCTACCTGAATACACGCTACTCGGGTTGGAAAAAACAGGTAAAAATCGCAGAACATTACCGGCTAAGCTAAATTCTCTATGAACGTAGTGGCTTGATTTCGTGATATGTCGTACCTAACTCTTTTTAAAAAAACGTGGTTGTTCTACTATTATGTTGTGTTGTCAGTGCCATGAAGGAATACTTCACGCACGGGCCTAGCGTTTGTTCTAAGTATATCTAATCGGTCTGTCGGACCTTTTTCGTAAGAGTTTTTGCTCCTTCGTGTACTGTCTTTTTTACTGATTAGTGGTTTGTAGGCACCTGCTTTCCTAACATGATCAAATTTTTAATCAAGTCGTAGGCAACTATACGGCCGCTCTGCCTTATCAAATCTTTCGTGTGCCGCAATTTTGGCTATATCTCTAGATATGAAGACAAGACTACCATAAGGTAGCTTCCTTCTAATGTATACTTTTGGAATTTTTCATTATTGTACAGGCAGACAATTCTAGCAGCTAATTTTCATTTTTTTGTCTACATCATCTAACCCCATACGACCCTAAAATTGCATGCAATTAGCATTAGTTCATTCTTTACAGTAGGGAAATCATTACACACACATATATAAGATTACATGCGAACCTGGTTTGAAATGCATTGCAGAATACGTAACTTTCATGCAGAAGTATATTGATGGCTTGTTGACTGGTTGGAAAGCGAGCGCTTTGCACTTTTGGATTGACAAAAGTAGTCCCATTGGGTACTCCTCTTGTTCATTCTGCACCTTTTATACCTGCAAAATCGCTAAAGCCTTACCTTGACAAAGACAAAGGCCGTACAAAGAGTACCTTGACAACAGACAAATATAACACATAAATTATACCAGCTCACTTAAGAACCTTTTGTTCTGGAGTGCGCGGAGACTACGGATAGTACATTAATGTAACAGGAATGCAGTTTAGGGTCACACAAAAAAAATCTAGTTTGTTACCCATTTAGTCTACTGTTTATTTATACTAAACCCTTACATCGAAGTCTTTTATATGCAAACTGCGCCTGTCATATGTATATCATGTAATCGTTTCAATTCTTCTCAAAATACACTGAAAAAATGACCCGGTGCCGGCGAGTGAACATCTAGAAGTTACCCGAAATATATTTCGGTGATTCGATTGCCCATGTTGTAAGCGGCCTTACCTTTGATTTTATAGCTGTCGATGAGCGCTGCGTCTAGCAAGCGCGTAAAAATGATTAGTTATGGTTATATAAGCAAAGGCGTAATTCAGCCATTACGCACGATGACAACACACAATAGTCACAGTAAATAGCAACCATTCTTTTTTTTTTTTGACTTCGGTAATAGGGCGGTCCAAAGGGATTCCAAAGTCTGGAGGAAATTGTACAGCATTCGAGGCACCAGGCAAACAGCCAACAGAAACGTTAAGATTCATTCGTTATTTCGTGGTTGGAGCCTTCGTGATATTCTTTATCCTTTATTTGAGGATCTGCCATAACTTCGAACAATAGATCTTTTGGAAGGTCGAATACCTGGTCGTATAATAATAATAATAATGGATATCCCCGAAGTGCCCATCACTCCAGAGCTAAGCAAAAATGTCTTAAAGAAACAGGCAAAGGCAAATTTAGGTTATTTTCCGTGTCCTTAAAATCAATTGATAAATACGTTACCACTGCGGGGCACACGTTACATGAGGTCCCAGGGTCTCTATGTTTCGAGTTTTACGTACAGTATCGTCGTTAGGCATTCCATCAGATTGTTGGCTCCCAAACGTGTCTACGCGCGGCTTCGAACGTAGAGCATAACGTATCCTTAAGATCGGCAGGAAAACACCTTACCCATTAAGCAATTAGGGGCATTGAGGTTGAGAACTTGCCAACGTGCACGGGCGTGCCTGCGCCAACAGCGTTCAGCGATCCCCAGCAAAAGACGCCAGAGGTTCGAACATGCTTGAATTGAGAGGTCTGGTAGATTTATAACTGACGCCATATAATTACGCCCTGTCGTACAGATTAAAAGATTTTTTAGCTGGCATCTGTAGTGCGGTTTGATAATTGCTACGAATATATGCATGGCGCAGCTGAAATCTGCAAAAGACTATACGGCAATTTTTATGATAATACTGAGATGAGAGAAATTTATCTAGCAGGTCTGCTCTTACATCCACTGCTTTGCAATATGCTTTTTAAATAATGCCTGACGCACACCTCCTGGCTGTTTTACTAAACTGAGGACTTTAATATATCTACGTCTACGTACGGATTTAAGCTAAACTATGCCTTCTTCGACCATGCATTGTCGCTGCTGTGTGCCTGAATCAATGCGGCCAAATTCTCTAAAATTAACAATCATCAAACGATATTTCAAGTGCGTTCGCGCTCGGTGTCGGTAACTTATGTTAGTACTGTTTGATAAATAAACTTTATACAATAAAACTTGAGTTCTGAGATATAGTTAGTGTTCTTTTCCAGTGAAAAAACTTTGTACGGGAAAGAGGGCTTATGCGAAGACGCCCAAGGTGTAAGCCCATAGGCACTTCCGGCTAGTCGAACGCGTTTCCCAGTTAGCCAGTCCTTACATTTACCCGCGCGCACTTAAAATGCCTAAAACCCGAGCTCTCTCACAGCTTGCAAAGCAATTGAAACGTGTATCGTACAGCGTCCCAACAAATATATGACGTTAATGTTATCTTTGAAACGTCCCATTTCTAATAGGATGCAGTTTGGGTGAGCGGCGTTGATCCAAGGGAGCCAAAGAATACGTTGTAAAGAAAGAACCTGGCTGCTTCTTTTGAGGCGTGCTTGCCCCAATTTATGGTTCCTACCGCAAAAAGGGTCGTGCTAGCAGATTATCCTGCATAGCAGCTCCAGCGGAATCCTTACCGTTGGACGTGACTGTCGACGTGGAAGGGACTAATATTAGTATACGTACATGCATACACATATATATTCATACACACATATATATATATATATTATTTACTAGAAGGTTATATTTCTACAATAGCGAAAAGTTCATAGCAACGGTTGTGGCTGGTGGAGAGAAAAAGAGCGTTCATTATCAACTAACTGTAAGGTATTTTCATCAAACATTAGCTAATGGAAGAATCTACTAGTATCAGAACATTTTTTGTGTTAATCCTATCAACAGTAAACTCTGAGATAATAAAGCTCACCAATATAATACACATGCTTCGATTTCAAAACTATGTTACCCGTGATTGTGCTTTACTGCTTTGAGGTTATCACTTCATCAGGTTTGAAATAAATTATAGCCATTTACATATTTTACATAAAGGCCCCTAGTAAATAAAAGTTCATTTGCCTGATTCACTGGATTTGATGAGGGCCCTGGGGACTACCATGCAATTTGACTAAAAGCATTCATCGCGTCGAAGTTGATAGAGCTAAATGAATGTTTAGACATGTATTTTACGTTCGGTATTATCGTTCAGACAGAGAGCTACGAACCTCAGTTGTATAAATAGTTGGTGGTAGCACTTCTGTACTTGAAATTTCAAACGATACACGCATTAACGAATAAACTCCCTAGAAAAAAAAATTCGGTGTACGGTGTATACGTTATTTGATGATAAATCTATTTCTGCCGCGAAAAAGAGTGATCATTTCTTTTTCAGTATGCATTCAGGCTTAATATCCTCTCACCAATGCGGCAGCTTAAAACACCTGAGCCGTCGTCAGAATGGAAACCGAAATAAATCTGATTCCAAATCGCATGTCCTACAGCTTCTACAACAGCTTAGCTTTCAATCTTCTTTTCATATCTTTAGCACAATATCGAATTACTCCATTTCCATATTTTTGCACAGTACGTCAAATATTTACTCAAATGCACAATGTGACCTCATCGCTGTACATCAATCTGGGTCTGGGTCGAGTGAAAGTGAATCTAGCGGTAGCTTTAGTCTTCATATTTCCCATATTTATATCTTCATAAGTTCAATTGCTTCTTCGCGTTAAAAGAAACGATAGGTGGCGTAGTATCAATAGACATTGATTTTCTCGAAATTTAGTATGGCAATGTAAGCTGCAAGCAGATACTATGGGAAAGCACCTAAAGCGCTGACTTGATTGTTGACACAGGAAGGTGTAGCGTGTCTAACATTTACCAAAATATCTCTCTTCTATGTTATATGATTTGAAAATTAGCCCACACTTTCAGTTAACTAAATAGATCTAGACAACCTAACAGTATAACTCATGTCTGCTTTATTGAATTCCGGATCTCGGAGCTGGCTTGGCCTTGTTGTCAGATATGATTTTCGTTATTTTGATCGCACACAACGAGATGACCGTAGTTTCGAATAGTACGTTCAGAACTGCATTAGCGTTGCATTACACTTTGAACCTTCAACAGTGAAACAAACGTGTCTAGGATAAGATTTATCCGCCCCTGCATCCAGTAAGCAGGCAAAATGCCAACAGGCCATCAATAAAGCCACTATTCGACAACAAGTGTCAAGAATCCATAGCATATAATCTCAGTATACGCCCTTTTAGTGTTGTTTGCAATCGATCTTTAAAAGGTTAAGGGTTGGTTATGTCCTGGTCAATTTTCTAGTATTTACTCTTACATTCCTAGGCAAATTCATAATCCCCATCATTATTCGTGCCTTCACATGTCAGTAGCATACTTGTAACTCGCACACGAATTCTTCGTTGTATCAGCCCTCCACCTGTTGTAGCCATCACTGGAACTAAGTATAAGAGGAAATACTGACCGAGGAACGACACACACGAGTGTGGAGTACCTAGTTTAGGTTAGAACATGGACATCTACTGTCATAATTTGAGCAAAACGTATACCCTAAACTTCGAACATGTGGCTTGTTATCATGTAAATGACGTCTGCTATTTATATAATAGGACCCATCTAAACAACAACAAAGTGGTCTTCTGTATAGGAACCAAGAAATTTTTAGAACCATATGGAATATATATGTTTGATCAAACGTTGTTATATGGCTATTTCGTCAATCCATTTTTCTAAAAACCCCTTGTACCTAGAGGACAGCAGCAGCAGCAACAGTAGTTATCTAAATAAAAGCTAGCTTTTCTTCAATACAAAAAACCCTGAGTCCCAGTTTATACTGACTTTTTCTAAAAACAGGTAAAAGTAGAAAATACTAGAAGAAGGCAAAGCACTGCTGGCGATGTACACAATACAAAATATCAAATACTATTATTCAAAACATAACACTACACAAAGTCCGGTAATCGTTGCTCACTTCTATAAACAAGTTTTGTTGTTATTTGAATAACTTCGTGTGTTCGACAGCTTTCTCATAGCTGTCTCGATTGACAATGGAAAATGATATTAGAATTCGTTGCTGATGAGCTTCGTTTTGATCCTGCTGGTCCTGCAAAAAAAATAGAAATAAATTAAAAATCAACCAAATAATTAGTCGATGCTGTTGGAATAATGAGGTGACGCTATAACAGAAGCCTATACACAAATCCCTATAAGAGTTTTCTAAGTAATTTTTGGTGTATTATTATATTTTCATTTAGATACGAACGCATTTATGATATGGTGCAGCTAGTTTATACAAAATTTGCCACCTACTAACAGGATTAGTTACATTATCTAAAGCTATTCAGTGTTACCACTTGCTAGCTAAGCTAGGGTTAGTCGCGTCTTCCTCTACACGTACGTGTACCTTTAGGAGTTGATCTCGTCCTTGAAGAAGCCGCATAATACAAGACTTTTTCTTCTCCATATCCGCTTTCAGTGACCTGAGCTGAGTTTGAGCGCTATCCGAAATCACCTCAACGCCCTGACATCCTCGAAGCACCCTTCGATCACTCTGAATCGCTTCACACCTAATAATACCCAATTCCGTATATTTTGTACGGTCATCGTGTACGGGAAACGAATAAAACAAGAGATAAAAGACAGACTTCATCGTCATACTCAAACGCTACTTTGTTCACTGAATTTGCGAATAGAAACTATATTTTTTTTAATACCCTACATCTACTGTTTAACAAACGTAGCTCCAGTCACTGTCTGTGTTTGCCTCACTTCGTCTCGTAGCAAAAAGAGATAAACAATTACAGCATAGACAATTTCAAAACATTTGCCACTTACGCCCGATGTAGTGCATTACAAAAACGTGTCATTGAGCTGAGAGTATCTTCTATCTGTACAATTATCTGGGGAGTTCGCCAAAGCTGAGCTCCATTGTCTGCGTTGCTAGGACCTGCGCTCGACATCGATGTACAGAAAGACTTGACCGTACCATTCACCGATGTCTCTAGTACTGTTGAACTAAGAATCGCGGCTGAAACCAGATAAACAAAGCAATGACCCCATGTGCTATATAATCTAGTTTGGTTGAGTAAAAGACAAGGGTGCATTCCTTATAGCAAACGAATACACAGATGTGTTGCAGGGATTAATAATAGATCAGCTTATTTTCTAAGATAGATACAAGGAGTAAAAACTTTTCTGTGCCGAGCTATGGTGATGTTCCGAAATAACTTACATTGAGATAAAGGGTGCAGACAGGAACCGTCACCCATTTGGGTAACGTTAGCAGGCCTTCTATTCGTGGCCTGCAAAATAGAGAGACCGATAACCGAGAAACGTACGTAAGATACATAAGTACAAAACGACCGACTTTTCTCCACACCGCCCGCTAGAACTCTTATTTGAATATTATGAATAACTAATTATCGAATTATGCAAATTTTATAAATACCGTCGTGTTTTTGATGCCGCCTTCGATTCCGGGCAGGGCCAACATTATTGATCTGGCCCATTCATCGCCTGACTCAAACGATTCGTGACATTTTTGGAGAAACACAGTTTCTTCGGAAATAATACACCTTTGGGCCCAGATTACAGCTTCCAGGGATGTCATTAAAGGTTCCAACTACAAAATTGAAGAAAATTCCGAAAAAGCAGCAACTAACTTGAATTATCGTGTTTTACAAATCATCAACGTTTGTTTCGTGTCTTAAAAAGCTTTCCTCATAAACGACATATGTAAGAATCATATAAACTACCACGTAAAAAAAATGCTATACCAACCTGATTGTTCACACTTTAAGGATTAACTAATTCTTTTGATGAAAAAAAATTTCTATTTGGTCTGAACTAATTTTAGTACCTGTTGCAATTGTCGTTTAGAAGCTGCTGATGTCGACTGGAACAGCTCATTGATAAAGATCTTTATGGAGTCCTGGATCAATTCTCGGTAAGATGTCAAAGCTTTTTCGAAACGGCCGAATAGCAAAGAGCTGCCACCAAGCTGCCTCATGACAGACAAAATGTCATTGCACTGCCCATCTAACCTTAAAAGTAACACATTGTCCGGCGATACAGAGGCTCCGTAACAAATTCGATTTATTCTCAAATGTTCTGTTTCGAATATACTTTTCAAAAATAAGAAAGAGTCGAAAAATAAAGTTCACAGCTGGACTTCAATAGAAAACAATGCTTAACCTCATTTTGATCATACTCTATTCTTCCTTGGTGTTTTCGGCTCGATGATATTGTTTTAACACAAGGCAGTAGGTGCGTAGCTCCCTTTACGCTTCATTGTGGTGCTCAAGGATAATTAAATAAATACTCACTGAGCGGACGCGTCGCGAAGCGTTTTCAGGAGGTATACACCCTTGTTTTCTCCTAGTGGTACCGCGTAGCGCTCCGGGTCTGGGTCCGGTCGGTTGACAATTTTATGGAGCGTCTCGCACGCGTCTACGATATCATTTCTATTGATGAATGAAAAAGCACAAAATACGAATATAAGATTGTTTACCTATCAAAATTCATTCCTTGACGAATTCTATAACTACGAAAGTCTTTATTTTTGTGACTTTAGACTACTTTCTCTATCGGAAATCTACCCGCTAACTAATATTATATACATCCTTACAGGCATAAAGAACATTATACATAACATTCAACTTATGTGTAAGTTCTTCCGTCGCATTGCCCACCTTTTGCCCTCTACGAATGGCTATGGTAAAGGTAAGCATTTCCTTTCTTCAGCCAGCAATAGTTTTACTTTTGTTCACACAAATCTTGTTTAAAAACGTCATTTACTCATATAATCCATATACAAAATGCTCCAAAAGACACGCAGCTGTATTTAGTGCATGTGCAGTGTTTTAAAACTAATGAGCCTACGATGAGTTAGTTTCTTGTTATTTAGTGAACTCAAATATAAACATTATAGTATATTATCGTCGGCATGGATTTCTTCTTATAAACTCGTCACACTTTCATTAAATGACGCAAGAAAGTTAATCGAGGTTCAAACTTTGTACGTACGCAAGAGTGACATATTTCTCCTGATTGATGATATTGCGCAGTCCATTTGATTCCTTGAGTTTCTCGACAATGTTTGTCAATTTCTTCAGATGGGACTGACCTTTCGTCATGAACTGCAACAAAATGAATGACACCTCCCGGGGAATTAGGCAGCTCCATTGTGACCAAAAGATCGTGCGTTAAGGACAATACGGTGATCCAATAAAATAATAAATTCTTTACTATTTTGTTCTATTTCATTGAAAGTAATTAGTAACGTTGTAACTGAACTCACACCTGATTCGTAAGAAAGCCTTTAGTAAGATAGCCTACTATTTATGAAGGGTACTTTGGTGCACATGAATGTTTTTATTTAGTAGAAATATTTATTTTATCTGTACATAATTTTTCCCATCTCACCATGGTAATAGCATTCTGAACCCGCTCGTGTGCCTTGTTAAGTTTATCGTCTGCTGCCCTACGAAGTAATTCTTCCAATTCCATTTCAGCTTCCCTTTTAATGCGGTGTTCAGTTCGAAATCTTTCATCTGCTTCTAAGACGGCGATCGCTTCCTCTAGTTGGCGTTTTTCCTCATGTTTATGCCGGAGTCTCATTCTGAAAACAGGTTAAAAACGCGAAAGATGAATAATTTTCTATACAAAGTGAGGTAATAAGTTCGTAACCACTGATTTGAAATACCACTATATCATTAATGCCACGCCAATTTATTCTGATCGAATTTAACTAGGCAAAATCCATCACGTTGGCAAGTTTAGCAGAGTTGAATACTGTACTGCTACACATAACTGCAAATTCGATCATACAATTTTTTGGTTTTTTTTAAGGTTCCGCCAACAGAAATTCTAACCACTGCCTCACAATTGAGCTGGTCTTTGTAGGTATTCTGTTCCGATAATAGATTACTGAAAGCGATGCAGTGAGCTACAGCAGCCGCCGATGAAGTGTAAAAGCATGCATAAAATCAATTATTTACAATCAACTATGAAATTAACTAGTATTATATTCTACCACAGGATACTCGGCAGTCCGTTGGAAGCATCAAAGTCTCGATTCTGCCGAAGTATTCATACAATTTCTACGAACTACATCGGGCAAGTCTCTTCACTGTTAGGAATAGGACCGAAATAAGGGCCTTGACAGAACATTAACAACACGGTTTCTTACCATTACTCTGCAACAGGGGCAAAACATTTTACAATCGCACTATAACCAATACCCTCTTCCCCCCAAAAAACAGCCACTTCTTAATTTATTTATTTACCATTTCCAAAATATAAATATAACTTTGTTTGTTAGTATGACTAACTTACTGCAGAATTTTATCACGACGTCTCTTACTCTCGATGAGACACATCTGTTTGCGAACCGCACCTGGTTCAAGAGGAACAAAGGAAGGATCATTCATCTCACCAGCGAGCTGAAGTCTGAAATCACAAAGAAATCAATGGAACGTTGGGATACTGGTGGACTTTTACAGTTATCGCAATATCGGCAAGCTAATGAATACGAGTTCTAGAACAGAAGGCTTAGGTACTGTGTATAGGAAAGTGATATGGTGCTAAGAACATGTCGTTGTCTGTATTAATAGTTACGCAGCAAGCATATTTGTTTTGTAAACAACAGTAAAAAATGACATCACTGAAACAAGATTTTATGCATCGCGATACATAAATAATAAACAGTCAAACGACATCTGTCAATATCATACTTACATTCTGGCTTGGTCTTTGTTGAGGAAGAGCTGAGGGTCCATACTTGCTATCTGGAATTACGCAAAACAAATCTTGTTAACTACCTAATATTCGACGCCGAAAAACAAGATCTATCGCCTAGTTTTTTTTGTTTATAAAAAGTAATTTATCATAGTCTTAAACAATTAACTAGTTAATTTTTTAGTTCCTTCTTAAATTTCATAATATAATCACCACAGTTCTAACACACTCAGTTTAAATGTAGCATTTCATAAAAACCCAACGATATAATAATAAAGTTACTTACTTTTACAAAAAAATCTCTAACATGCCTGTTTGTTGCCATCATTTCGATGTCAGTTTCGTCGAATTTTTCCGCTCCCGGAAAATCATGTTCACGCAAGAGTTCTAGTATTCGTTCGCTGAAGTTGCTGAAGTTTGAATTGAAATACAATCTTAATAAAAGTGTTGCAAGGCAATCCAGTTAGCACGATATATGTGAGAGGAAATCCTAGACACATCATCCTATACCCGCTTTCTGTATTATACTTTACATGGCACACATTGCCAGCTGACCCGTTCACTTGTGCGTATTTTAAGCATCATAAACCCTTAATAACATAATTTTAAAAGGTAATTCTTTCAACGATCTTACGACAACCATTGCACAGGCGTCACCGCTTCCAGCACTCACATACTCATACCTCATTTTCTATCTGTAATTTTACAAAGAAAATTGTTTTTGACAACTGGCTTTGCCCCTGCAGGCCACAACCGACAACCGCCAAAAGCTACGATGAGGCCTTTGTTGTGGTGTGGGGACGGTAGCGGACGACGCTGATGTAGAAGCCGGAATGCCAACTTAGTAGTGCCAACGATACGTTTTTCTCCAATTTTACATTGTTATCTTGAGCAATAGTTTGCTTTATATCTCACGCTGGAAGCACAAGGTGACCTGCTAGGCCAGTCTACTTCACCTGGCTGGCTCTGTGAGGTTAGCTGCCCTATAAGATGGAAATAAGGCAGTCGAACACGAATACATTCATTCAATCGGTCAAGTCGCTGTGTTGATATAAATAAACGCTCCGCAGCAAAAACATCTGACGCATGTGTTCTATTATTGAAAACAAAAGTTTTTTGTTTATTTATAATGATCTAATTGATGTTCTACGATAAATAACATAAGCAGTACTTTCTGGTGTCGGCACTGTAATTGGACTGGGGTCTTATGGAAGGAGTGTGCACGATTAGTGGGTAAAACTATTGTGACTTTAGTCTACCGTACAGAATCAGCTGCTACCCTAGCCGAAGTGCCATCGTACCGATTCGTCGTGTTTATTGCAATCTATCTTTGCCGACTGTTCGTCATTATGACGACAGCCAAGCTATCCGGTGCTAAACTGGCAAAAATATTGAAGGGTGTCCGAGCTCTTGTTCCGTACTATAAAGAAATTGGCGAAGATAGCAAGGATGCATTCAGACACATAGAACGGAAGTTTGATCACGAGTTCCAAACGACAATAACGTCAAGTGGCATCAAATGTGTAAGTGGTCCTCCCTTGGAGAAATTCGCTTCCGGGGTTATGGCCATCATGATTGGTCGGCACTACGATAAACTTCAATGGATACGATATGGTGAGAGACGATACGACCTCACCGTGAAGCTTGGCGAGGAACGATTGCCAGCCATCTCTGAAGGAGTACTCCTTTCTACCAAGGATTATAGTCACGTAACAAAGGAAGCTATACTTAAACAGCTGGAGAAGTATAAAGGATTGATCGAGCAGCGTAAGCCGACGTGCAATGATTGCTTGGTTGGTCAATCAATTTCTGAAATGCCAAAAGATGTGCATAAGTGTACTCTATATGCGATCTGCTACTCCATCACGTTAAAGAACTTTAATCCGCCACTTATTGATCTGGATGTGCTTTGTGGAGCAAAGTTTCATCTACGTACATTTACAGAGGATTTCGGTAGGGCGTTAGGTACGGAAGCCCATATTGCTAAGCTGCATCGACGCGTACATGGCCCATTCCAGGACGAGGACGCAATTCACTCATATGCTGTGTCCTGGAAGCAGTTTAGAGAAATCGACGCCCTGCACAAAAAAGCTGTATATGAATACACGCGGAAAATGCAAGCTATGCATGGCCAGTTGCTGTCGACACTCAATGTAAAAGCGCCTTATCGACAGAAATGAATTATATATACATATATAAATGCGTATGTGTATATATGAAATTATGCGCGGTAAGGTATATAGTCACCTTGGGTATTTTAGAACATAAATATTTGCATTGCTGCAAGTGTAAAAGTTGTTAATAAAACAAATATTATAAAGACATATGTGCTTAACTTTTTTATGTGTTGCGTGGGAATACGATTCAAACACCAATTTACCCTAATACGACGAAGTATATCTGTAGCAATATTATATAGACAACGTCAATATAAAGTAGGCATAATTGGCTGGTTTCCATTTTCGAATCGAAAATGGGTCCAGACTGAAGATATATGAACCTCACGAGTGTGACGACATTCAAATCAAGTGAAAGTTTTCGCTAGTCTTCAGAAATGCTGTGTGTTATCAGATTAGTGGCATGCTTAACATCATTCGCAGGATCTACAGCTGCGTATATTATAAGAAACAGTGCAGATTACTTTACATTTACATAACCTTTTAAATTTTTGACTGATCTGTTAGCATAAACCCGACTATAATGCAGAAGATATCCCTACGCTTGTAGGGATATATTCTACGTTTATTTTGCGTCTAAAAAGATGTAATCCCGAAATTGTTTATTCAGCAGATGTTATTTTTAGCTTCCGTACAATTATCAAGTAGCCGGGAAATACCGTTTGCATCTCAAATGCATGCGTGTATAAAAGAAAAATTGCCACATATCTTCTATTGTGTAATTATTAATTATACAAGAAGAATTTTTCGGGCTGAAATTAGTCGAGCCGTATTCATCAGTGTGTAACTGGTTTAACATCTGTTAATTTTGAGAGGAAATTATATTCTGTTTCGAAGAAAATCGACCGAAAACCCTGTTTTTCGGTGACAGTGCTCACAAGACAGTGTCACTTCGCCTGGGTAAAATTGGCCTAATCGTCAGATTCACAAGTAAACTTAAAATGTAATTCATTTGTGCATCAGCTTCAATCATGTTAAATGCGATGAATGATTCATAGGATATACTGTGCACCAGAACTGATGCCTTAGAAGATACCAATTTTGGAATCCACGTAAGATTACTTGGCAAGATTACGCTTAATGTTACGATTGCCATCAGTCTTATGAAACATCTCGTTCAGTATGTGGTCTAAATCGTCACTAATAAACTGTTATGAATCAAAGAAGAACTTGTAATGGTATGTAAAAACATTTCTGCTTTGTTCTTGGGGAGTAGCTGGTTGTCAGCGTCCGCCCCGTCCCGGGAAGTGTTTAGCATCAGACACAATTCATCCATTGGGTAATGGCTGCCCCCCGTCGTTCCATGCGTGATTGACAAGCGCAACAGAAAAACAAATAAAGTGGCAGCAGCCCTATTTTAAAGGCTATATTATTGACATTTTGCTAACGAATACGTCCTACTTTATCTCGGCATCATCTCAGGGAAGATGTCCATTATTTCCGTAAAAACATAATGGAGGGTTTTCAAGGTTAGGCTGGTCGAACAAAGGCATCGCGCATTCATTTCTACATATGCTGCTTTTTGTATTTCTGTGAATGCCGTTGACTTCAAATATATCCGGTGAACCTGAAGTACCCTAAAAATTATAACATCATATTAGCGAGTAAACGTTCCAAACCCTTTAATTCGTTCCATTTTGCTGTTAGCACAATTTTAAGCTTTTGTTTACCTAAAAAACGGCTTTGTCTGGTACTAGGGTGAACATGTGCCTCCATCTGTGTGTTGACGGTACATTTACGTACGTTTTGTGCCTTTATATTCTGGCTGTCCTTATACGAGTACAGTGTAATGCAATGACCTGATAACGTCACCGTGGTCGTCTGAAAAACGCTTTTTCTGATCAACGGAGGCAGTCATCGTAGGTCCAAGCCATGTTACGCAGCACATGTTTCCTCAATGTATATGAAGCCTACAATAATCGGAACAACAATGCACTTAATTACTAAATGAGCGAAAGTTATGCCTTCAGTGCCAGCTGCTCTTCAAAGTCAGTTCTAATATTAGATTTCTATACTGTTAGATGGCATTGACTCTATTATTATTATTATTACAAGAACGAATTTTTTCTGGCTCCTCTTCCTTTTTTGGATGTTATTTGTTTACTCGTGACAACCTACCATCTAACGTTAGTATCACTAAGCCAAAGTTATTATAGATTTTACCGGCAGGTCCCTGACGTAGATGAACAAGGAAATTCCCTTAATCAATGTCATAATCATCTTGCCTCTCGTTCCATGGTCGATACTAACGTTTCAGTTGTTGAGATAGCTAAAGAAACGGTCGATGACTTGCGGAAGGTAAAAAATAAACAAAGTGCGCCAAGCTTCGTGATGACGTCGTGGGACCAACAGTTTGTCCTCTCATTCATGGTAATAACTTCGCAACAGTATAACAAATGTTAAATCTAAAAGGTTTATTTCGAAACTTACAGTTCGTTCGTATTATGTGTTCTAGTTAAAGGACTATTGAATTTCTATCATCTAAAATAGTCAAACAAACAGCTGTCCGAATTTAGGTAAAGCTTTAACGATGCTGGCGGCAAATATTTATGTATTATGTGAGAAAATTGTGTGTCTTCACATAATTGAATAATATGCTTTTGTGTATCTTTTATTTCGTCGTTTTCAAGGCGGGAGCTAGCGCCGGACTAAGCGTGGACTTAATCATCTTTCCACTGGATACACTAAAAACACGTTTGCAGAGCCCTCAAGGTTTCGTAAAAGCGGGTGGTTTCAGCAAACTTTACGCTGGTCTGGCCTCCGTCATTTTTGGAGCCGCCCCAGGATGTAAGTAATTTTTTTGCTTGATCGTTAATATCTCTTGATTATTTCGGCACCCACACACTAGACACAGATGCAAGATCTGCGTTCATAAGTTTTATGCCTCTTAATAGCTGCTTTAATTAACAAGTTACCAAAATTATCATAATTAAACTAGTGTAAAGGACATTTTGTCATTTCCGAATAGATGTTTTTGAAAATCCTATTAAGACATCGTTATCTTCATTATCCTATTGATGTGTCTAGGAGATATTCCATAAAAATTTATCTGGATTTGAGTTACGAGTCCACGACAGAAAATCATATGGACATTGGAAATGTCGATTATACGGACCTCAGATAGAGTCCAAAAGCTACTTTAAACTGGCGTTTAACTAAACCTAAAATCAATTGATCTATAATGAAAATTTCACTGAAATCACTTTGTTAGCATACCACGTAATATAACGAACATTCACAGCATTAGGCCTAAGACTAGTTTCAAAGAAAAAATAATGTCAAGCTCACAACTCATTCGTGTAACTCTCGTTATTTTTTCATTTTGCTATTATACCATGCTAAACAGCCAAAACTTTTTAGATTATTTCGCATGGCATGTAGGGGATCTCTTTCTGTTTATAAAATAAAAGATTACACCATTTTTAAGTCTAGTTTGAAGCGATTTTTAAAGCGAAATTCAAATGTGTGTGTACTGGATAGTACAAAACAAAATGCCGCTATTTGGCTACTGTTAAATACAGGAGATGCCTATGGGCCAATCATGGTTGATAGATACCCCGCTATCCAGACAAACTGGATCGCGAGACTGTGATAAAATGGAAAACAGCTTTACGTTTACTGTGGTAACTTTCCAGTCCATATGAATAATCCGTCTAAATGAAAACAATTCCTTCAACTACATGCCAACAGCTTTTTGAGCATCTTTTAATATTGATAGTCAACGTTATAGAAGCCAATTATATGTCGAAGTTAATTATATGTCTAGCTACTCTGTTTGCTTAAAAAGCTGTGCTTCCAGTTATAAAACTTATGTTGAGATATAGGATTAATGAATAAATTGCATGTTCAAAATTGAATGGATTTAAAGTAACTTCTGATTCCCTCTGCCTTCATACTAACTTAAACATGGGCGCGTAGACGGGCGTGAAAACGTGAAAAATAAATAAATGTTTCAATTTTTACATCCACTATTTCCGTTAGCCTTAGCTTCAAACAGCTAGCCCTTTCCAGTATAAAACGACGTGTAGATATGCCCAGTTTCAAACCTAGACCACTTCATATGTCCTGAAGTTCAATAGGTAAACACGTTGCCATTGCGCCATCACGGGGGATGTGGGAACTCACCCATACTACATCACCTTCTTTTCGTTTCAGCTGCGGCCTTTTTTGTGACGTACGACTCTTTTAAGAGGATACTCTCCCCCTGGAGTTCCCCCTCATTGGAGCCAGTAGCACATATGTGTGCAGCATCGCTCGGTGAGGTTATGGCTTGTTTAATTCGAGTGCCAGTGGAAGTAGTGAAGCAACGAACTCAGGCGCAACCGAGTGTAACTTCCTGGATTACCCTAAAGGATATTATTGCAAGGGATGGAGCCGGAGGCCTGTTTCGGGGCTATGGCAGCACTGTACTAAGGGAGATGCCTTTCTCGTTCATACAATTTCCTGTTTGGGAAGTACTCAAGGTAAAAATGCTCACCCTAGAGTTTATTAATATTGCTTACTCGTTATTACGCTAGGAAATTTGATTTCTAAATACGGTTATACATCAGTCGTTAAAGCTTTCGTACTACATTTGTAATTTATTTTATTAAGACGAGCATGTTCTGTGTTAGTATATTTAAACACAAATCACAAACATGGCGTCCTTCCTAAATATGAGGAGTTTTTTTTCATTTTTAAAAGATTTGTTAGGCCTAGATTTGCACGAGTCTTGTATATTTAGATGCATTTACACTTTGGATGTCTTTGTTGTTTCAGAAATTCGTTTCGGATTATCAGGGCCGTTCGGTCACCCCTTTCGAAACGGCTCTATGCGGCGCTGCCGCGGGGGGTTTCGCTGCAGCAACGACAACTCCTCTGGATGTAGCTAAGACACGCATCATGCTCCATAGGGGGCAAGCCAAGACAGTGACTCAAACACTAGCTGAGGTTTATCAACAAGGGGGTGCTAAAGGGTAGGAAATTACACGAACTTCACTTAACTGGTAATCAAGGATAATCAATGAAAACGATATATCAATATTAGTTATGCATTAGTAAAAATCAAGCGAAATTATAATTTGCAAATTCTAAATGTTTGTCCATACTGTTTCCTATATGGGGATCCGGTTAAAGAACTAATTCAACTGAATATGTGTGTATGCGTCTGTATTAAACAATTTTTAATGTAGCAGTGTGTGACAAACCCGCGTAATGCTGTAGTGTAGGGTGTTCGCCTACAAATCATAGATGCATGCGAAATGGCCTAGATTCGAGTTCGGCCGTAGACACACATCAAGATTTTGTAAAAATCTAAACAATAGAAATAGCGATAAACGTGTAGAAGGAATTTTTTCTCTTTTATGATTATTCCGTGTCGCTTGCATTGATTTTCATCTGCCCTGATAGGGTATTGAACCGAGGCTATCACGCGACGTTTAAGGTAAGAAGAAGCAGCTGGGAGTCAGCAAGAGCAAAAAAGGCACTTTTTTGCTCTTGCTGACTCCAAAAAGGGTTTTTCTATAGCATTTCTCCTATTTTACTTTGCTACATTTAGTACATGTGATCAGCACCCACTCGAATTCTTACCCTAGATGTTACTTTGACACAGCGTTTAAACAAATCGTTCCTGATCTACTGGGAAAATACTAGAGATTGCTCGATTCAGTTCCAGCAGAATTGAATCAGAGAAAGACAACCTTTGCAAGCGTTACCACTGGTTTAAGTTATGGCTTAAACGGGTCACAGAATCCGAAAGTTTGTGGAGCTTGTAGCTTTTCATCTTTAATAAGTTCCGCTATATTTGCGTAGCAGCCTACCAAAAAATAAAAATGCTTACGTTGCGTTTCAGGCTATACGCTGGAGTAATCCCGAGGTCGATGTCTCTCTCGTTGGGCGGCTTCATTTTCTTAGGCACATACGAAAAGTCACGAAGTGTACTGGAACAAATCGTGTAAACTGGGATTTATTGAAAAAAAATTGCTTTTCAGGCGTATCATTGAACTGTACAGTGTGGACATTTATTATAATAAAATGTGTAAGTTTTTATAGCCTGTTATTTTCAACGAAGGAATCGAAGAATCTAGTACTTAAACGTCAAGCTACGGTAAAAGCGGAAACAATTTAGGGTCGAAGCCTTAAAATCAGAGTTGTCCGAATTACCGAGATTACACTATTGCCGTTGAAAAAAAACGTGTACGGTCATAAATTACATCGAACTTGCTCAGATATATGAGAAATTCATCAGAGAGAGAAGTGGTACTCCAAATTCATTAAGGATTCGATTTGTGACAATTAGTTCAACTTATCGTTTGTCAATTCAAACGCATCTTACCTTTGTAAGCTGAGATACCAGCGTGAATTAATGATTTCTCTTGCTGATTCATGTTCTGCCAAACGCTAGCGACTCTCTACAACATCAGTAAATTTTTTCATTGACCACTTTACGCTACTGTCATTGGAGTCATGTTATTTTTATATTATTCACGTAATCTAAGAAAAAGAGAGCAACTTTATCTTTACCTCTTTTTTTTAATTCAGAGACATGTTTATTTTTGATTTTGTTCACATTTAGATAGCTCTTCCTTCGTTTACGTCGTCGAAATATCGCGCGTGGCAGGCCGTAGAAATGGCACTATCAGACCTAAGCGCAACCTAATGCAACGTAGATTTCTTGTTCTATGTCACGGGAATGGGTATCACACCCTATTTAGAATAAATACACATTACTACAATTTTACTAAGAATATATATCGAGAGCGGGACATACGTGCTTGGTTTATTTAGCGCATACTATTATCATCATTAGAATAGCATAGTATATAATGCAGCATATACTGTTACCGTCGATTCGTTGCTTATGCGTATGTCTGTTTACCTACAACTATACCTAATTAGATTGAGATGTTTGTTTTATTTATCATTATTTGCGTTGATCCAGCTAATATTGGTTTTCTGCACAGTCGTCAATCTGATTAAAATTCGTCTGCTAATATGCTGTCATTCCTGTACTTATTGTATATGTGTAAATCAATTCGTAGAGTAAATATATACACATTATGTGTTTATATATAGCCAGATTTGAGTCTTGAGTATACGGCTCTCTGGGTAGATCTGAGATTCTCTTCATTTGATATATGATCCTTGCAGTAATAAGCGAGAGAGGTCACATATACTATTATGGCGTTCTGAGAAACACGTGTCATTTGTTTTTGTTGTAGGGGTTGTTCTACTACCAGTCTCACCTATTAACCTCGGATCCGTTTATATTTATGTATCATATAATAATATTTCATACGATAGGCCTTACGTTTGCGCGATGCATAAATATAGAGATCAGCAAACGCGCGTGTTTTTGAAATACTTTTTCCTACTTGAAAATTAGTTGAAAAAGTGGCTACTGGTTGTCGACCAGACGAATTCACCGGTGTAGTCGAACACCTAAAATAATTTATTGTGATCATATGGAAGCTAGAGAGACCACTTCATGTATATGCGCAGAATGTACTATTAGAGTCCCATCTCCGGTTAGACCTATGAATTGATTCCATTTACTTGCTCTAATATCGCTAAAGCATCCGCTGACGATTCTATTCAAGCTCATTTTTTAACTAAAATACAACGATTATTATTACCTATGACGAAATAAAGGAGAACTACAGTTAAACAATTTACTTTACACTTATTCCTAGCCTCTGTCATAGCTTCTACTAGAGTCAATCAGTAAGCATTTACCTTTTTCTTTTATCATATGTGGCCCTCAAACTGGTAGAAAAGCTTTCTTATATGAAGAAATTTCTCAACGTATTTTCCCTCAAAGTTCTCTAATTAATTCCTTGTAAATGAACGGCACTAAAATTTTCAACATACGACTGCACTTACCTACGATGTGTACAACCCTCCTCTAAAATGAATAATTTAGAATTAATTAAAGATGAAGCTCTTCATAGATTCACTTCTTTTTTCAGTGATGAGTTCTTCACTCCTTGAACAACCACTTATCTGGAGTCGTGGCCTGGCTAGTGGATGTTCCGGCTTGTCCTGACGTTGCAGATGTTGTAGCACCGCTTGTCGCGCAAGTTGTCACTGGTGCAGCTGCCGCAGCACCAGCAGAGGCTGATGCTTGTTGCATCATTCCTTGGGCAGCCTGCATTAAGCCTGCGAGCGCTTCAGGCGGTACTCCGTTCAGACCCGTCATATGGCCCATATTCGACATATTAGAAATGGCAGCGGCAAGCAAACTCTGTTGGGCCTGCTGCGCCGGGCACTGGGGTATGTGTGCCGTTAGCTGATCGGGCAGATCAAATTGTTTAAGGCAAAGCGGACAGTGAATCCTGTGCGTCTTGTAATGTTTCTTCAACGACGAACTCTGCGAGAACTTCTGATGGCAGATCTGGCAGACGTACGGAGCGCTACTATCGTGAGTACGCATGTGACGCTTCATGTCATATGATCGGACAAATTGTTTTCCGCATGTCGGGCACTTATGAGGGGTTTTTCCGGTAGTGTGTGATTTTTTATGTGCGCGCAAACTGTTGGCAGAGCCAAACGCTTTACCGCAAGTTGGACACTCGTGGCGTTCGGTTGATCCTGCGGGCGCGGTCGACCCACTGGAAATGTTCGTGAGATTAGTAGTAGTTGCGCCGATACTCGCAGGCAGTCCCAAAGCATTGCTGTTGTTGCCACTCAGTCCGAGTTGTGAGCCACTGGTCGAACCCTGACCCGACGAACCAGTTACCTTTTTGCCGTTAGCACCTACCTGCTGCTCGACATGGCGCAAATGCTCCTCTTCGATGGCAGCGATTGTGTCATGGTCTGACGCGTGAACGAGCAGGGCGCACAGGGTTGAATAGGCACGAGGACACGCTCGGCAGGTAAATGGTCGTCGGTGGAATCGGCCATGCCAACGTAGCGATGTCCGGCTGACGAATACCTGTGTACATGATATGAAAATAGAAAAGGGAAAGCCAAATACAAAAGAGAATATATCAAACTGGTTAGCATGATCACCATAAAACTGTTTCAGAAGAGAAATTCGTGACATATGTGTTGCAAAGAGCAACGTTGTTTGTCTCTTTTATACGTTTGTTTAATAAAAAGGGCTACTCTTAGAAAATGGTTTAAGCTAAGTAGGTCCGTGTGACGATGGAATGGTAACATATTGACTCATAGACGTAATTACCTAGGTTCGAAACCGAGAGCATCTAAAGCAATGCTCAACTGGGATGGTACTGGGCACAAAATTTAAAGTATTTTAGTGGCAACACTTTGTGAGGGGTAGTCAATGCAGCTTTCCAGTGCTAATGCTGTTCTAAATCTATGTAAGCTGGATTTAAGAAAACGTATTGCACGATTGCGTAATTTCTATTTAAAACTGATGGAAATAATGCCAATAGTGTTGTTTTTATACTACACATTTGCTTGATAAAGAAACCGTAGTCTTTTGGAAATGAAATCAATGAAGTAGCGTTTCTATAGTCGTAACCAGCACCGCTCGCAGTCAAAAAATGGAATATGAAATGCATCATGGGTTACTGAACTTCTTGTTCCAATCAGACTCAACTCACAATAATCATATTAAAAGTAATAGAAAATATTCCTCATTTAGTTACCTTATCGCAGTGTTCACAGGGAAACTTTTTTCGGGGTTTACGACGCAGTTTTGACGATGATGAACTCGGCGTGCCAGCTCTGGTAGACTCCAAATTTAAGCTATGTGTGAAGCCGTGTAACGTGTGACGACGCTGTTGAAAGAAACGCCGTGCTTTATGAGCAACAGTTGTACCTTGTGAAGGCAGCGTGTAGCGATCCTCCTGAAGGCTGAGGTGAAATACTGAGTGGATTCTCAAGGCGTCCTCATTTGGGAAGAGACGTCGGCAAGCCGGGCAGCGGAGAAAGCAATCAGACGAAGCTAGACCCGGTGAATGGGCCCGTTGATGCTCACGTTCAGCACCGTCCGACCCGAATCCTTTGGCACAGAAGTAACAAAATCGAGATTTCTGTATGGAAAACTGCAGCTGATGGGTGATGAGACCGCGTCGGGTAGAGTAAGTTTTTCGGCACGTACCGCACTTGAGCGGGGTGCCTGTGATACTGTGCTCTTGAACAAAGTGCTCGACTAAACTTTCGGGTAGGGTAAACCGCTGTTGGCACTTCCAGCATGAGTAGGGCTGGACTCCGGTGTGCTCAAACGTATGCCGCAGCAATAGACCCGGTCGTCTCGTCGTGAAGTTACACAGCGGGCAATAATACGGCTCATTGGGATTGGGCTCATCGTGGCTTTTGTCGCTCTTTAACTCGGCTCGAGTCGGACTTAAGGACGTCGCCATAGGCTCATCGTCGTCCTGGGCTACCATCGTCAACTGCAGGAGATCCACGGGCGACAGACCGTTTATACAGCTGGCCATATTTCCCGCAACAATTGAATCCACAGGCAATTGACACTAGCGCCAGTATCGAACTTCGCTTTCTTACTTCTCCTATATAGTTAACTGCGCAAATACACTCACACAATGCACCGAATTTTCGGCCACCCAAAGAAAATGCACCAAAATCGATTTCGAGCGTAACACTATTTGTGGGTCTTGTTGCCCAGAAGTGGGATGCCAATCGGCTGAATACCGACCACAATTGATCAGGTGAGCGGAATGACAGCAGTCTGCACAGCTCACAAACAAAACCCCCCTCTAACAGTGCTCCAACACCATTAACGTTTTGCGAGAATGTTGAAACATCCAAGAGACTTCACAAGCGCTTCGTTATTGTCAGGATGCGTTAGCGGAGTTCCCAAACGACAGTGAGCGCTCCGCCACGGCAGCGACTCAGAGGGAGGCTGATAGCGTTACACCGAACAAACACAGCCCGACTCCCCAAGCATAACAGGCTTTCAAGATGGCGTCAGCTGTGAGCATGCGCGATCGGCGGTTTGTCGGGCCGACCCATTCACTCGTAACAAGAAAGCCACACCAGCAAGCAAATAGCTGCGTTGAGGCTTAGCAGTGTGTGTGTATGCGAGATAAAAAGACGACGAAGAAAGTTGCATCGATAGACATCGAAAGTCATACATGGCGGTATTCCTAATAAATGTAATAATATATACATTTATATATTTGGACTGAAGGGACTCGGTTTCTTAGTGTGAGCAAATTTTTAAAAGTAGAATCATTTTTTTTTAATAGTAAAGGAGTAAAATAATTTGCATTTTTTTCAGCCACTGTCTAGCCTGTGCCAAAACTATATTTTCAAAGTCTGAAGACTAAAAACACGTTACACTTCCTCACAAGTCAATATAATCCCTTCAGAATCACAATCCTTACTATAAGGAAACGTATTTTTTTAGTTCTATTGAGTGGCTGATTTCTTTGCATGAATTAATATTTTCTCTAAAACGAATAATTTGTAATGAGTTCATTAAAGCAATATAATTGAAGAATTTTTGACAAATATATTAGTGTATTTTTTCTCTAGCGTCACACCAGTTGTTGTCAACGATCACATTAAGCAAACTTTAGCCCATACATCGTGGTTGCCACATTTGTAGTTCTGTGTAAAACTATTATAATTAAAGATAGCCATCAAATAAGCTGCATTGGAAGAGGTCGAATAAAATATATGATGACAGTTTCACAGCGGACTAACTATTGCTATGTGCAGCCGCAAAGATGCCAAGGTCCTTGGCATGACCAGAGCTCGCCTGACCAGAACTCATTACCCCAGCGAGGCGACAAGGATCCTTGGCACCTGAAATTGCTCGATCAACGAAATGCTTGAACTATCTATCTTTCAGGGTGAGTAACGAAACGTTTGCTGGTTGACATCTACGGTTATCAATCGAACCGGGTTCAACCGCGCGTGACGGTGGCAATGCAATTAAATCCTCGGCTAAGTCTGTCAAGTCGCACTCATATCGTGACCTTAGTAAATTAGATTAGAATGATGCTCATGAATATAGGGGTATATATGTATAAATTAAACAAACACTATTAGTGCTATAAGCGCAAAAGGACGCAACAGTCTTGAAAAACGCTTTTATACCACAGAAAACTTATTTTTTGCCTCCGATATAGAATGGTGTTCAATCTAATCACTAGCTATGACTTTGAGGATACAGGCCCTTTGTGTTGTTTGTCGCTGAAGTAAACGTTATTTATAAAATAAAAATACTTAATAAACGGTAATTCTGAAACGGCGACCTGCATGAAAAGATTTGAGTCAATATCATGGACGGGAGAAGTCGGTGCTTAGTTTTTTGATGAGTACCATAAACATTATCAAATGTTCAAATGTCATGTAGGTTCAAGAAACATTATAGCAAACTGTAACTGAGATCGAAAGGAAATCTGGTGTTATAGCTCAACTAGCTGATAAACACACGCTCTTATGGGTATTTGAGAAATCAGTGGTAGGCTTAGGTCAGCGAGGACGCACCAAAAAATATTGGTCAAAACTATAAGACGTATGGAAGTAAAAGAATCGAAAAGAACATGTTTTTTAGTAAGCAGGATGCAGATGTTTTTCAACAATTTAAACTAGTGCATTAGCTCGAGCAGAAGCGCTTAGTGTTTCTGTGTCATTTTTAATTTTTCAAGAGACAGCCAAAGGCACTGAATGAATAATTTTTCGTAAATTTTCGTAAAACTAAGGAAAAATTAAGGAAAAAAGGCGATCAGATACCGCCCTAGTTCTAACCATAAACTAGGCCAACCAGCAATTTGCTTGCGTATGTCTTACGACTAAGTGAGAGGCCACGGGAAACCAAAGTAGGGTTACAGGGGAAGTATAGTTACAAAGCTGAAACTCAAAGGAATTGACGGAAAAGCACCACCAGGAGTAGAGCCTGCGGCTTAATTTGACTCAGTACGGGAAAACTTACCTGGTCCTGACACTAGAATGGTTGACAGATCGATAGCTCTTTCTTGATCTGGTGGATGGTGGTGCATGGCCGTTCTTAGTTGGTGGAGTGATTTCTCTGGTTAATTCCGATAACGAACGAGACTCTAGCGTATTAAATAATACACGGAATCTTGTCTTCCGTGAGGTTCCTTAATAAGATCAAGTGTGTTTAACACTTTGAAACAGAGCAATAACAGGTCTGTGATGCCCTTAGATGTTCGGGGCCGCACGCGCGCTACGTTGAATGCAAGATGAGTTTCCCCAGTCTTTAACGAGGCTGGTAATCATTGAATGTTTTTCTTAATGGGGATAGGGGATTGCAATTGTGCCCCTTGAACGAGGAATTCCGAGTAAGTGCTAGTCATTAGCTAGTACTGATTACGTCCCTGTCTTTTGTACACATCGCCCGTCGCTACTACCGATTGAATGGTTTAGTGAGATCATCTGGGTAGACGGGTGTGTACTTTGTACATGGCTGTATTGCGATGAAGATCAAACTTGATCATTTAGAGGAAGTAAAAGTCGTAACAAGGTTTCTGTAGGTGAACCTGCGGAAGGATCATTACTGATTCAAGATCCATTATCTCACATGAGCGAATGGCCGTTGTATGATGTCTATGTCGTGTGAGCGTTTTCGAATCGAACATGGCGTTTATAGCTGTACGTTAAGGATAGCGATTTTACTCGTTAACAGAGTTAGTCGCTTTTTTAAAGTCTTACATTACTGCAAGCAAATACTTTAAGCAGTCTAGAAATCTTAAACGACGGTGCGACGATCATGAGACAGTGGATATTGTTTATTCTGTGATCATAATTCTAGTAGGTTCAGTCGATATCCTTGGCTGCCTTAGCAGTAAAAGTCCAGGAAATTCGAGGCTTTTTTCAAAATGACACTTATACATTAGGCGCTGCTTCTTTTAGTTGATGTACTTCCCTATGTTATTAAAAAAAGCTTTTGCTATAAGAAAAGTTATTTGCTTTTTGTTTAACTATATCTTTTAAATACAATGTAAGTTTCAGACATGATACGTGTTAGATAAATTGGCAAGGCATATATCTACAGAAAAATTTATATAACTAGCTTATCAAAACATTGCAGTATAAAAGCTTCTCAATACTCTCCAGAGTCTACACACCTTTTTTTCACAATTTACATTATACACAGAATCCACTATCAAACTAGTTAGTAACTACACGCCTTAGGGTCCTGGTTTTTGACGATGTTAACGAGAACTTTGTGCACAGGGTAAGTGATAGAGCACCAGCTCATCGGGCACCTAGCCAGCTAAATCAAAGAAGAATCTACTCTTTTCTTTGGATGACACTCAAACATTAAGTGTTTTAGTTGCTGGACTGCCTATTCAAAAACATCGGTATATATAATCAACTGGGCCCCTATTAGAAAGCCTAGCATAGTAGGTCTTGCTACACCTATCTGAAGTTTTTCCAACAGATCTATGGAAATGCACGGTAACTATACGCCACGGTAACGATTCGCCAATGCTGAAATATGAACCTGCGGTGGCCGCATGTTCATGCTTGTCAAGGCACGGAAGGGGTATTAGCAGTTTTTAGAATTTGTTTTGTGTAACCTTTTCATTCATCAGGCCGCAACCTTGGTATTCTCACATAGCTGCAGATAAATGTAGTATCATTTAGGCTATCCACTCGCTCGTCTAGATTGTTGATTCTTGACTATTGTAGGAAGAGATTGGAATTTACGTTAAAAATCCTGTACTGGTCAATACTTATATCGGGACGCCATGTGCTGTAGAGCTGAAAGCAGCAGTTGTTTACATTTAAAAAAAATGCAGTACAGGCGAACTTCAATATGAATGAAGAAATTCAATGAAAAAACAAACATTTTTTAAAAATTCAAATAAAAAAAATCAAAACTCAAATTTGATACCGCATTTGTTTAAGAAATGTGATCAAAGAAATTCTATCTAACAACATTTCCGAATAATTATCAATCCATTTATTTTGGGAGGTTTAAAAAAAGGTGTATTACACTCTCTTACGTAACATATGCATCATTAATGTCCATGGTTCGCAGTAAAAAGTTTTCCAGCGGCCGTCCCGGCTGCTGCCGAATGAAAACTGTTGTTAGTCAGTGATCTAGGTACGTTAATGGAGGATGTTTACTAATCTTCGGTAGGACTATATCTTCCTTCCACTTACACTTTACTGTCCTGCAAACATGGGGAGGTTGCCTCTTTGTAAAACCCAGTTCTCGCTGAAATCTAATAGACACTTTTGCTGTTTACTAGAACGCAGATTCATGTGTAACTATAATTAACTCGAATCTCAGGTGAACGGTGCTCACGGAGAAAACGGCTGTTCGGCATTGAGGTGAAACGGCTGAATAGAAACCTGAATACAAACATTATTTTTATTACCAGCTTTGGGAATTGACCTAAAATGATGATACTGACTATGGAGGTAAATTTCAATGGAGAATCATACCTTTGAAGATGCCCAGCACGATTCAAGCTCCTAGGGATAACATACTCTGTTCTGCAACAAAAAACCATTATTCTATGTTTGTGTGATAGAACATCTAGTTCAAAGAAACATTGGTTCGTGAACTGGCTTGTTCTAAATACTGGCATGGCAGGATCGACTCGCGTTAGCAACCAAAGAAAATAGAAAAAAATTATTAAAAAATAAATTACGGTATAATATTTCATATTCAGCGAATGCGCCAATATATCTGTTGAATCTTACAATGCAGTACGTCAGAATGGGTACAGGCTACTCGTTATTTAGGCCTACTGGGTGACGGAATCGAGTTAGTGTTTCTAGGCATAAGCAGTGAAAATCAAATTTCTTGGGAAGCTGCTCTACAGAACTGCGCCCGAGAAAAAACCTCTGGAGCAGCCGTCAGAAAAAACCATTGTTGTCAGCTGCAGATATATTTGGTGGCTTTGCCTAACAGTACAGTTAGTAGTACTAATTAGTATCTTCCAATAC